CAGGGGCCGCGGGCATCCACTGGTACTCGCAGCTGCTCTACCAAATAGGCACCTGGCTGCTGGACAGTGAGGCCCTGCACCCGCTGGGCATGGCGGTCAAGTCCAGCTGAAGGCCTGCGGCGGGGCGGGAGGGGCGGGGGCAACAGCACGATACAGCAGAAGACACGGGAAGCGCACGGAATGAGGCGTTCATTATCATAATAAATAATATTAATAATGAAGTAGGACAACCCAAAATAGGCGATAAGGAAACCAAGACCCGGGAAGCTCTGGCGTCGTGTTTAGTTCATATCTATTTTTTGAATTTTTTGGTTGTTTTATTTTGATTTTTTTCACCTCTCCTGGCTATTTATTTGTTTGGTATGAATAGATGTTTTAAATAATATGAACCGGACCTTCAAGAGCCTTAAATAGTTTGTTTCTTGGGTAATTTATTATTGTCGTGTGAACTGTTCTCACGGGGAGAGGTGTGAGGCCCAGCGACCTGCGCAGAGTCTATTTTTGTACACGTCCCTCCGCCGCCAGCCGCCCTGCTCTCCCAGCTCCGCTTCTCCGCGCGTGTGAACTCAGCTTCGTGGGGTCCACAAAGTCTATTTTTATACACAGAATTGTAAATTAGATTTTTTGAGAGATCAATACCTAACTGAATTACATTTCATTTTTGAAATAGTGTAAAATATGAAAATATATTATTTTTAATTTAACTAATTTCCAAGGTCACAGTCATCTCTTCTGGTATCCTCATGGATGAATATTTGCTTTGTCATCACCATTTTGGCCACATTCTTGGAAGTCAAGACTGTTACACACTCACACACACACTTTTCTTTCTTTCTTTCTTTTTTTTTTTTTTTGACAAACTGGACGATCTGTTATTTTTGACTTCAAAGAATTTATTAGAAAATGATATTTTTTAAAAGTGCACATAGCAATGAGCCCATGTGGGTGGAGCCTGTAGTTTGTACAGAGATAAACAGGATGTTTTTTGCATTAATAAATTGAGAATAACTGCTGTAAATTTACTAAACTGTATTTTTGAACGTTTTGTAATAGTTTTGTAGAAATAAAGCGTGCCGCGCACAGCCTGGTTAGTATGTCATCCCTGAGAGCCCCTGCCAGCCCTCTGCTCCCGGCGGCCTCCTGGTTCCCGACATCGTGTGTAGATGATATACTGTGAATGCGCCGCACCCCGCGTGGGTTCGGCCTGGGGAACCTCAGCTCTGTTTGTGTCATGGTGCGATCTACACTCCTAGGTTGGGGTGCTGTGCTGGGTACTGTTCAGCACTCTGCCAGCCGTGGGCCCAGAGGCGGCCCAGGCTCCCTGGAGCTGTGGGCAGACCTGTTTGCTGGGCTCGGCTGCCCCGCTGGATGCTGTGTTCCCTGGCCCTGCAGGGAGGTCCCTGGCTGCTTCCCAAAGTCCTGGGGGCCCTTTAAGGAGGGTTCCCGAGGAGAGGCAGGGTGTTGATCCTGGTGGAACCTCCCACAGCCTGTCCTCAAGTTCCCCCAAATCCAGGGCAGGCCCCTTGCAGAGTGCGCATCCTGGCCTCTCCCGACACAGCCTATGGCCTCAGGTGCCGGGGTCTCTATGGCCAGGGTGTCCGCCTGGAGCGGCGGCTGGGCATGGACTGGCGCCCCTAGGGCACAGCTCTTCTTTGGTGGCGCTGGAGCTTGCCCATGGCCGTGCTGCTAGGCAAGGGGTGGAGGGTCCTGATTTCTCTGGAAAAGGTTTTTTTCTGGTCATGTGGGCTGTTAGCAGGTTCAGAGTTTACCGCCCTGGTGGCATCGGGTGGTTTCTGGTCTGTTGGCTGTTTAAGTCGGTAAGTTGGTGGAAGGTAAACCGGAAGCTGTGGGCTCGCCAGCATCTCTGGCTGTGGTGACCCACCTGAGTAACCAGCGGTGAAGGCAGAGTCCTGGCCACCAGCTCTGGGAGTGCCCGCAGCGCCCCCTGCAGGCAGGCGTGCGGCCGTGTCTCACTTTCCTTACCCAGTCCCGTCCAGCTTCTCAGCATTTCTCCAGCTTTACATGAAGAACTCTTTTTCATGGACAACGAATGGAAGCTGCCTCCTAGAGAAAGCAGACCCAGGGCACCAGGGGAGGCAGCCGCTCCTGCTGCTCGTCACTCACGCCCCCGCTTCTCCATCGTTAGGGCTCACGGGGCCACGAGTCTTCAAAGTGCACACGTGGTGTCGCTCCGTCGCCCTGGGACTCTGCGCCTCTCTCCTCCCGTCAAACACGCACGTCAAACACGCACGTCACAATGCACTTCCGCTGCTGCCCTTGTGCTCTATTGTTTGGATAATTAAAGACGCGACAGAGGCTTCCCGCGCTGTGTTCTGGGGTAGAATCCCTGTCCCTCATGGCCACGTGTGGATCGCCGCGGTCTCCACGGGCTGCGCTTGAATGCGAAAGGCCTCACCTCCCTGGCCTCCGTGGGAGGGTCCGGTCAGGCCGGGAGCTGGGCAGAGGCACCTTATTCTTCCTGGTTGTAGCCCTTTGCTGTCATCGCCGCCACATGGGAAATGTCAGGCAGACCTGCCAAGAAGGCCAGTTGGTTGCAAGATTTGGCAAGAAAACAACAGAGTGCGGCCTGTGGGCCAGCTGTGGGCCAGCTGTGGGTGGGGCTGGGGGCTGGCTCTTGCTCCGCGTTCCAGGTTCTCTGGTGACTCGGAGAAGCAGTCAGTCCCTCCTTCTGGAAGAACAACCGCTCCAGGGGGTGAGTGACTTCCAAATGACTTCTTAGGAACAAGTCACAGAACACTCACGAGCCCGCGTCTCACGGGCCCTCTGCCGGGGGCGCCTCGAGGGGCGGGATGCCGGCTGGAGGCCGGGTGCAGTTGGCCCAGTTCCCAGGCCCAGCACTCAGCCTGGTGTTCACAT